ATGCACTAAAATGTAAAAGCAGGAGTGAACTTAGGGAAAGTAATATAATCAAAAATTTCAATGTAGACTTAATTTTAAGGTAAAAGAAGATTTAATAAATTTTATGAATTTAATAATTAAATAAAGTTTTAAATAATTTGTTTGAATGTGGAAATTGTCATATCTTGGAGGTATAAATAAATTTGCTTGACTAATATGATGGAGCATTTCCTTTTAGACACTTAAATAACATTATAAGAATTTGTTCATTCCATTTATTATTGAGTCTGCTCCATCCAAGGGAATTTAAAATATTACTAACAGGAGTCTTGATATCAACTGATAATAATATTCTACCTAATCTATTTAATAAAACTTGAAGAGAGTCTGAAAATTCAACTTTACAATTAGACATTACACAACAACAATAATCAAATAAGGGGACAACTAGTGTATTTGCCAACATATTGAGAGTGTGTGATGGAAGGTAGTATTTCACACGACGGATTATTCCAATTAAGAGACAGTTATATTATTGAATCCCTAGTTTTCTCATATTTTCAGTATGATCATAATATGGTTACTTTATGTATAACTTACAGATCCTTCAGAACATGTTACAATATGTTTAAAGCTGGCATTAAACTTGGTGCACAACACTGGTTCTTTGTGAGTAATTGCTATGTCTGCATGCATCTGAGCTCTACAAAACAAAAACACAAATTAGTACTGTAGATTATTAAAAATGGGAGGATCATGCTGTTAACCTGCTCGCTGGTGACCCTGCTACGACTGTTCCAGTCAATTAACAACAGCAACTAGAATCGATTATGATTCATACCAACGAATGAACTATACCTTACTTTAGTGAAATTTATTATCAAATAATCATCAGACAAAACAAAAAGACAGTAACTCCGAAAAGAGACAGAGACATCAAAATGTCTCTGTCTCTTTTCAGAGTTACTGTCTATTTGTTTTATTTAAGACTAATTAGTGGATCCTCTGGTTCTTAATCATCAGACAGCGGGGAAAAATATTGTTCTGCCAAATGTATTTTTGTTATATGTGTGAGGAATGTTGGAATGTAAAAGTTCTGTAATCAGATTGAAATATAAATTATGATAAATAAATCATAATTCATAATGTTTGGCAGACATCATAGTATATAAGCTTTTAACAATCTTGCTAACTTACTTAATTTTCAAACCAAGGAAGGCCATCTGGTCTGTACTAGATGCTACTGCTAAGCCCTTTACAACCGGATTGTAATGACAAGCCTGGACATCTCCTCGAATCTTATGTGACTTTGGTCTCACTGTCAGCATACATACTTGGTCCTTGATGTCCCACACCTGTTACATCGAAGTAAACAATCCAGATTGTTATGCTTATTAATTAAAAATATTATTAAAACATATTTTGATAAGGTACAAAGGAGGCATATCAAGGTTTATTATTAACTTCTATTAGTAGATTTCACATATATTTCTTATAAGGTGTCAGAATGCAAATTAAGACTATTTTAAATAAAATGGCCTGTACGCAATTGCACACTGATGGTGGCAGTGGAATTTGTGAATGCCTTGTCAGGGATAGCTTGCCTTCCTGTCCCTCATTGTTGGATTGGATTGGATTTATTCGGTGTAAACACCAAGGATAGCCCACGAAAGTCTAGAAGAAGACTTGTTTCCAGTGGGGTCCTTCTGTTGGTGATTGGACAGTACACCGGGAGACAATCCCCTACTCTTTTCCGAAGAGTGTACTGTGTTCTTTAACGTGCGCATGGCCCATAAATTCACACGGGACCAACTACTTAAACGTTTCATCTGAAAGACGGTGCGCTATGTAACTTTTATTTCAGCCTTCTAGCTGAAACACAAGGAGAGGCAGTGATGGGAATTGAATCGGGAACCTACAGATCTCCACGGTTCAGCGCACACACAGTGGCTACCACCAGATCAGCTGACTGAGCTAAGCTGCTCTCTAGACTTGTGGAGAAAAAAAAACAATTCTTCATGCAGAAAATAAAATTCTATGCAACTTTTACAGATTACGAGCCCTTTGAAATCCCTAAACTGCCCCCACAGGATTTAATTCTGACCAGTTCATTGGCCTGTCCACTTTCACGCCCAACATGGACAGCAGGTCCCCCTTCCTCTTATGAATAAGTCTTAGTTGCAACTTAAAGAAGGTACTCCTGTGTTTCTATCTTTGTAATGGAAGCTTTTCAGTTGCATGCCATGCTGCCATGGCTATAGTTACTTTGCAAAGAATTGGCTCGAATTGATTTGGGTAGCAACATTACTTATGACACAAAAAACATACAAGGCAAATCCCAAAAATAAACAATACCTTAACAGTTTTATCTTGCGATATACTGTAAATTCTATCCTCTTCAGCTGCTATAAACAGGCCGAATATAGGAGCATTATGACCTCGGAGCATTCCAGTCGGTTTCCTATAAAGAATATGGTATACTGTATATATATATTCAACTTTTATTTTGGAAAAGTTTCCTTCCATAGACAACAATGACAAGAAAAACAAGGCCCAGCACCAAACAGCAAAGACAAACAATATAGAAATAACATGGGCCTGAAAGAAGTTAATTAATTCACTCTATCAATTTAACCAATCAATCAAATTAAAAGATGATGCACGATGTTTCAACAATCAATGTCTACTGTGCAGGTGAAAACGACAACTGATTCCACTTCAAGTTCAATTTTGAATGGCATATCATTTTAGAGCAAATACATATATATATATATATATAATAATAATAATAGAAGGCCATATTGTAAATACTTCACACACATGGAAGAAAAGTAATTGTGCTTGTGTACTTACAAAGGAACATAGGGATTCCACACTCGCACAATCCTATCCATTCCTCCTGTTACAATGATATTTTTTGTCTTTGAAAAATCAAATGTTTTGACTCCTTTATGAATTCTAAACACCAGCTGGTCATTAGCCAAATGTTTCTTTGCTTGTGCATAATTTTGTTGAGCTATCTTGGCTTTCCTTTCCGCTGCATCAGGCGAGTTTGTCATTTCACGGATTTCCTTCAGTTGAGATTCAACATGAGTACTTCCCACAGTATTACCTAGCAAACAAAACAAATATTAATTAGAAGATAAATTTGAAGTTTGTTCTTAAGGTCATAGAATGTGTGATCACTATACTTCATAATATGTGTAAATACAATAATTCTATTGTTATTGAAAATTGTTTTTAATTTTTCAAACAACTTTTAACTGCAATAGATTTGGTTGTAAATATAATATTTGCATATAAAATTGAAAAATATTTATTATGTTTTCTGTAAAAACAATATTATATTTTTTTACAGAAAATATAATAAATATATAAAAATTTTATAAAAAAAAAAAAGCATGTCACATATTATCAAATATTTCAATTTAATATTGTTGCAAAATTTACTCAAGCTGATTAGCTAATTTTCTTAATTTTGTGAATCATAAATATGTGAGCTGTTGTGAGTATTGTGGTACAAAAAATTAAACAATTAATTATTGATATAGATACAATAGATGACTATCATTCTTAAGTTGATACGCCAAAATACATTAAAGTGAACTGACAAATTTTGTGATGTTTCTCCTATCAAATCTGAAAAATATCTTTACAAAATGTGCCTCAAAAACGCTTTACATTAAGTAACTCAACTCACAACTTTTGCTACCATTAATCTTATCAGAAACTTTGAAACCCAATTTTTGTCAAAATATCACTGCAGATATATTTTCTTGAATATAACAAATTGACACAGCCTCTAAAGCCGAGCATTCACTGCGCTTGACGGCCGTCAGTCGATACGATTCTATGAAGAACACAATGCCACGACGCAGTACAACAGGTCGTTTTCAATGACGATCTGTTTTGATTGCCACTGATAGTCAGCAGATGATGTCGCGTTGTCCATCACTGACAGGCAGTGGAGCTGTATTCATCGTACAACCATCATACGATGCAGCGAATGCCCAGCTTAACATATATATTTAAGTAGTTGAGTGGATTAAACCATCAATCACCTACCGATGACGAGGGCAGTGTTTTCATTGTTTGAACAAGATATAATCATTCTAATGTCGTCATAGTACCGAACTTCTGCAACCCAATCGTTGTGAACTTTCCAGCGTAGAAACTTTGTCAG